AGCGTGGCCCCTTGGTATTCTGACTTTGCCAATTATCTGGTGGGCAAGCAGTTACCCAAGGGGATGGCTACTCATGCAAAGCGCAAGTTCTTCTCCGATCTGAAGCACTACTTCTGGGAGGATCCTTACCTCTTCAGAATCGGAGCAGATGGCGTGATCCGGCGCTGTGTCATGGAGCATGAGATGGGAGACATCTTGTCTCAATGCCACGAGGGACCTACTGGAGGTCACCATGGAGGAAACCGCACGGCGTGGAAGGTGCTACAGTCGGGCTTCTATTGGCCCTCGCTCTTCAAGGATGCAGACACCTTCGCACGATAGTGCGACCGCTGCCAAAGGTCAGGTAACATTTCTTCCCGGAATGAGATGCCCCAACATATCTCTGTTATTTGTGAAATTTTTTATGTTGGGGTATCGATTTCATGGGCCCATTCCCTCCATCTTTTGGCAATCTGTACATATTGGTTGTAGTGGACTACGTCTCGAGGTGGGCAGAAGCTCAAGCCATGCCCACCAATGATGCAAGACGGGTCTGCTCATTTCTGAAGTAGCTGTTCTCCCGGTTCGGGACACCTCGTGCCATTATTAGTGATAGAGGAACTCATTTTCAAGGGCAATTCACTAAACTCCTCTCTCGCTATGGCGTTAAGCATCAGGTGTTGGTGGCCTACCATCCCCAGTCAAATGGGCAGGCCGAGCTGACGAACCGGGAGTTAAAACGAATAATTGAAAAGACGGTGGATCAGTCCCGCAAGGATTGGTCCACCAAGCTCGATGATGCTCTCTGGGCGTATAGGACTGCCTATAAAAATCCGATTGGCACTTCTCCCTATAGGCTTGTCTATGGGAAGGCATGCCATTTGCCGGTAGAGCTAGAGCACAAGGCCTTCTCGGCCATTAAGCTGCTAAACCTGGATTTGAGTGTTGCAGGTACAGAACGTAAGTTGCAGCTGCTGGAGTTGGAGGAGTGGCGTTACCACGCCTACGAGAACACCCTGCTCTACAAAGAGCGCACCAAGCGTCTCCACGACGCAAGGTTGAGGGGCCCGAAGGAGTTTCAGGTAGGTGACGTGTTCTGCTCTTCAATGCACGCCTGAAACTCTTTCTGGGCAAGCTCCGTTCGAGGTGGTCGGGACCCTTCACGGTCACCCAAGTTTTCCCGTATGGTGCGGTGAAGATCAGCAATGCTCAAACCGAGCCATTCAAGGTGAATGGCCACCTCCTAAAGTTGTATTTGGGAGGTGCTGTCGAGCGCGCAGAGCTGCTGATCAAGCTCGAGGACCCTTAGTTCCTCTTCTGGCGTCCAGCTAAAAGACGGTAAAGAAGCGCTTGTGGGGAGGCAACCCCACCGAGGTTTGCATTTTCTTACTTTTTTCCTTTTGTTTTTTGTGTTTTTTGAGTCTTGAGATGTTGTTCCAGAGTCGAATGTCGTTTTTGAGTGAAAACAGGTTGAATTCGGGGCTTCAGCAGTTCACACGGCAAGGCCTGAAACTCACACGGCCGTGTGGATTTTACCCCTTGGCCGTGTGTGCTCTCGGCAAATTCCACACGGCCAAATGTGCAACTGGCACGGCTGTGTGGCTTGGCCCGGCCTGGCCGTGTGGCCGACAGGGCAACTCATATGCTCGCACGGCCGTGTGGATTTTTTCCCTTGGCCGTGTGAGCTCTCGGCAAATTCCACAAGGCCAATTGTGCAATTCGCACGGCCGTGTGGAATTCCTCGGCCTGGCCGTGTCGGCCGACATGGGCAAAACCTGCACCTCACACGGCCGTGTGAGCCTGCCCGTGTGGCCGAGCCACGGCCTATAAATTCGGCCGACACGGCCGAGTGGTCAGAAAATCCACTTTTGCTCGTCGGAAACCTCTCCCCCTCGCCGGAAAAACCGCGCCTTTTCACTCTCCTTGGCGATTTCCGGCCATTTTTGGTCGTTTTTTTCCCAAATCCAACACCACACCCAACCTTCCCACACCATTATCGGCCTATCCCTCGTTTTTTAGGTGATTTGGCTCGACTTTGAGTCGCCGGAGGCGATTTTCGGCGAGACTCCGGCGAGGCTCCGACGAGCACTTCCGGGCACTTTTTCGGCTTTTCGTCGCTTTCATCGTCTTCCCCTCATCATCCCCTACACCTCTACTTGAGTCTCCAGGTTTGATTTTGCCCTTAACTATGTTAATTGTGGAGAATTGGGTGTTAAGGTGCATGTTTAGAGAACCTCAATGAATCTTGTGATTTTTGTGCAATTGATTGAGGGGAATGCATGAATTGTGTTTGAATTGTGTTGGGCAATGTCCCCCTTTATTGTTTGAGCCCTTGTGTGCAAGAATTTCACCAATTTCATGCTTAACTTAATAGTGCACACAAGGTGTTCGATGAAATGCCTGTTTTTCATGCCATGTTGTGGCCATCGGTTGGGGCCCTTAATGATGTGCTTTGAGGGTGTATTTGCTATGGATGTGAACCTCAAGTTGCCTACTTTATCGTGAATGTGCACCCCCACTCAGATTATGCTTGATTTAATGAGTTTTTGACCCCCGAACTATGGATGAAACCATGGTTAGGCTGTTTTCTGTTATTAAGTGTGGGGGTGTGATTGACCTTTTCTTTGGCTCTTTTGGTTCCACTTTGGGTTGTTCTTTTGCAGAACAATGTCGAAACCCGACCTCAAGCACCCGTTCATCCGGGATCTGAAGAGGGGCCCCTATCAGGATCGGTTCAAGCAAGTCCTGGCATGCTCGTTTGGGCAGCACCATTGCTGGTCCAAACGGGAGTTTCAGAAGTTGCATTGCTACGAGCACCTCTCCGCCATCGTCACCAACCGCCCGTGGCTCCGTCTTCTCTCCATCCACGAGAAGGTCTATTACGAGCCCGTGCTGGAGTTCTACACGACTTTCAAGCACGTATCCAAGGAGGATTGGAGAGACAATGCAGCCGTCCAATTCAGGCTCGGTGGTGCCCCCCGGTCCATGAGCTACCACGAGCTGGCCGCTGCTCTCGACCTCGGCCTAGACGATGGTGAGGACTACGTCACCGAGGTCAACGACCCGCCGGAGGTGGAATTCAGGACGCTGTACACCCGCCTGGCTCGGCCAGGCCAGCAGCGTCCCTTCTCGGCCGGGAGGAAGAAGGCCACTACCCTGCAACTCGACAACCGCCTTCTCCACCACCTGCTGGCGAAGTCTTACACCCCAGCTTCAGACAGTGCCAGCGCCATCACCAAGAGGGCCATGTACTTCATCGAGTCGATCCGCCAGCACGACCATCCTCTCCACTTGGGTTCGGTGGTGGCCAGAACCTTCGAGAAGACTGCTTCGGAACTGAAGAGCCTCCACTGCACCCCTCTCATCACCCGCCTGGCCACCTACTTCGGCCTTTCACTGTAGGGGTGCACACAGCAGGGGGACAACCAGCGTCTTTGGCAGGAAGACGATAAGTCACATGCACCTGCTGCGAGAAAACCGCGGCATTCTATGGATCGAGGGGTTTTCGGAACCTCAAATCCCCGCGGAGGACCAGCCGGAGGCCCAATCAGAGGTCCAGCCAGAGGGCCAGGAGGATGAGGCTGCTGATCATGAGGAGCCCGAGGGGTGGTGCTGATGCTGCCCCCCGCCCCACCACCTACGAGTACGGGGGTGGCAGCTCCGCTTTCCCTGGGCAGGACTACTTCACCTACCAGTTCGAGCAGGTGCGTATCCAGAACCAGCAGATCCTTGACCAGCAGCTCCAGTTCCAGCAGCAGTATGTGGCTCACCAGGCCGAGTACCAGCAGAGGATGGCTGCTTATGATGAGCGCCTGGACATGATGGCGACCCAGCAGGGGGTGACTCTGGCTCATATCAAGCGAGAGAGGGCTCGATCTAGGCGCATGCAGGAGGTCCAGCAGCACTTGCTCTAGCTGCTGCCGGGCGAGCAGCCCGTCTGGAGGACTCCCCGGGAGGACTCTCCACTTCCACCTCCCCCAGCTGATGGTGATGATGGTGCTGATGGTGGTGACACCTTCATGGACGACATCGACCTGGATAACCTCGGCGACGAGTAGGCTGTACTCGTTGCCCATCTCAGTGTGTTTTTCGTTTTAGACTTCTGTGTGTTTGCTCCATGTGTGAGGAGCTTGAACTTAGTGTCGTTTGTTTTTTGTTTTTGTTTTTCTTTTGTGGATTGTTTATGTTGTGGCCGTCTGGGCTAACACTTATCCCTAACGCACAGTGTGCTAGTGTGTTCTTGGTGTTCGATTCGTGCAGAACTGTCCATCTTCCCGCTGTTTCTCGCTGACTGGTCCACTTCCAGTCCCCCAAAGTATTTCAATCCGGTAACATCGTTCCCCTTATCTCTCCCTCTACCTCTACTCCATTGAGGGCAATGTCGTGCTTAAGTGTGGAGGGTGCTTTGTATCGGTTGGAATCTATATATGTGTGCTTGGAGCCTAGTCCGCTATCCGAATCTTACGATTTGAGGGCTCCAAGTACTGATGTTTGATCATATTGGCACTGTGTTTTGATTGATGAATTGAATGGTTTTCGGATTGATGCATGACAGTTTGATTGTGACTAGGACAACCTATGATGAGGACTGAGACGTGCGTAGAATTGTGTAGGGGTTCAGTTCTTCCAACTGTTTGCTTAGCAACTGTGACTTGGATTGATCACTTGTTCTTGACAGT